ATGCATTATGAAGTCATCTCAGTGGGGAAGACTATAAGAACTAGATACAATAAACATCCTAAGACTCCTGTATCCACAGAAATCCAAAGGGTAACACCACATTATTATCCAAGAATTGAGTTTTTAGCATCAATGAGAGATGGGATTTTGAAACTCAAGAGACAAGTTAAGAGTATAGCCTACAACTAAGCCCAGGAATGGAGATTCATGGCTTACAGGCCTGCAGGATAGAAAGACACAATAAGGAAATTAACTGCCTTGGAACAGAACTGAGAAATAGCAAAAGAAAAGCTGGAGGTAGAAGAACCAAAATGTAATAAATGCTGTAACTTAAAAAGAAGAGTCTGGATTTGGTGCTGGAAATCAGTAGTTCTTAAAGCATTTTTAACTTGGGCTTTCTCGAACATGATAAGCAATGCTAAGTGTATAATAAATACATGCAAAAATCTCAGCAACTTGTTATTCTGAGAGTCTATCATTTCAGACAAAGTACAACTGGCTAGTCCTGTCTTGCACCATTCATATGTATGCAGGGACGCAGGCTGCTCCATTCCTCTGATCCAGGTTAGAGTGATATTTCTATAGTAAGACAAATACTAAATACTTTGGTTTTGCAGACTATATGGTCTCTGACCTAACTACAGAATTCTATCACTTTAACACAAAAATAGCCATACACAGGTAAGAGCAGTTGTGTTCCAACAAAAATTTATTTACAGAAACAGGGAACGGCAAACAAGCCAGAATGGGCCCTCAAGGGTCATTTGCCAACCACTGGTCTAGGGTGTGGAGGAGGGGCAATGTGGAAGACTGTAAGAGGTTTTCACTCGGAAGCAGAATCCATCTATTCTACTAACTCCTTACTAAGCTGGAATTTGGTCATGTGTCCCAGAAGAAATGAAGGGTCCAAAGCCATGCTCCAGTTTTTTAAAGAAAAAACAATTTTGGTTTAGTGAACACACCCATTCATTTACACTTTCCCAGGCATATTTGTTTTTGGAAAATGGTATTCTGCTAATAAGAAAAATTGCTGGGCTTTCCTCATGATGGAAGAGAACAGCCAACAATTTAGTTGATAGCATAGTTGATAATTGATGATTAAAATTTGTTGACACTGATGCAAATCAATAAAAAGCAAGAGCAGCAATAATTCTGAAACACAGCTCACAACCATATAAACTTACGTAACATTTTCCTGAAAACAACAAAAAATTCCAACTATGCTTTCAAGTACACATGCAGTAGGAGTCTGACAGGTACTAAGCATTCAAAAGATGTTAACTGGCTTCTCCACGGAAAACTGAATCAGTGTCAATGGCACACGCAATGCTGTACGCTCATTAAACCCAATTCATTTCCTTCTGAGTACACAGAGAACCCCCTTTCCTGCAATGGAAATGGAACATAAATGTGTTCTGGGCAAAGGAATATAGGTGGATATAATGCACATTACTGCCAGGATGGTACAAAGAAATGCTCCATCTTATATGCTGCTCTTTCTTCCCCCTTGTACTGACCTTGGAAGCCAAGTGACAAAGGGTGACACCACAAGAAAGAAGCCTGGTTCCTGAAAGACTGCTTGCCGCTGAACGACTTCATGGAGCAGAGCACCAGCTTCTTCCATCTCCTTCTCCATAACTGCTTTTCGACAACAGTGGGCAATAAATTTTTACTGAAATAAACCACTGAGGTGAAGTTTATTACAGCCACTACCTTATGCTAATGAGTCCTTACAGACTCCAGAATGTGTTATATGTTATAAATATTGAACTTTAGCAATTCTTCAAAACTAAGCTTTTTAACAATGTTTTAGTTGCATAAAAATATGTACATATTCACCGTATGGGTGAGGTGCTCTCAGTCTATCAATAAAGATCTGCACAGCTCAAAATTGGGCTGGAAGCAGAAGATGGACAGAATGAAAATACTATATCAGGAAACTGGTATGCTTACCTGTGTTCATTTATTCAAATTTCTAACACCTACTGTCTATGAAGCATCATGGCGCAAATTAAGGGCAAAAGATGAATGATATGTATGCACGTGCAGGCCCTGCCCTAAACTATGACGGTGGGGAAAAAGGACTAAGCTGTTATTAAGCAATGTGAGCAAAGACTTGTGTAGAAAATGCTGCAGCTCAGGAAATCACCACCACTCCCTAGAAGAGCAAGAAAGGCTTCAAAGAAGCAGGGCGCTATTAAGAAGAAAGATAATTGTGTGAATTTGTAACTTCAGGGAAAAAGTGCTTCAGAGTCCTACTCTTTGCTGAAACAATCCAATATAAAGTCTATTTTCCTCTATCATTTTCTACAAGGATATGGGAACTATTCCAAGAACAAAAGCAAAAAAAAAAAAAGTTATATTTAATGAGTTTCAATGTGATTTTTTTTTTCAGGCAGACTTTACCTACAAAACAAAATTCTAACAAAATGCTCCTTGGTACATTTACAATTTTTTTGGCATTAAGAAAATTCTCCAGTTTTAATCATATATATTATTAAGAGTGGAATAGTATAGTTCTTATGTACCTGCAATCACAGGTGAACCAATTCACTCACCAAAAACAAAATCCAGTTTCCCAGCTACATATTTTAGCTTTAACTTTGTTTAGTATTCTTATAAAACACTGTTCCCAAGAATCCGAAAGACTCTATAAAGAGATATATATAGCACTACTAGAGAAATAATTCATAGCATGTGTCCTAGTGATATGAATTGGCAGCTTCAAAAGTATATTTGATTTGGACATTAATGTGAAAAATGCAGGTCCCACATAAGTGAGGGCTGACTTTGGGAGGATACTGTACATACAGTGTTATGTGAAGACAACACTACCTTGACAATATCTTCCCATAGTCTACCCAAGACAAAGACGCTTGCTAAAAATGTGAACTGTACTCTTTTTCTAGGTCTTTTTATGCTGAATTCAAATTTTTTTACACTTAATTAGAGCTACCCCTTTATCACACATTTTACCTTAACCGCAAATACGGCCTATGACACAAAGAGTAACTTTTAGAAATTTACACAGTATGTCCTCCTATCTAGTGTTTTACAAACAGGAAGGAGAAAAAAAGTTTTGAATACATACATCATGAAACAGCTCTATTTCTGATAGAAACCCCATTAAATATTGAAGCAACCCAAAACAAAGTCTACATCTACCAAAAGGTCACATTCACTTTTAAAACCTATGGCAGTCCATGTATATAAGTCCAAATACAAATCGATTAAAGATTTGAGGATACTTATTTTTTCATGTTTATTTTACTTAAAATATTATTTCTATACCAGTTCCCATTTCTTTGCTCTTCATTAAATTATCTGTTATTTTAGACAATCATTTCCAACAATTTCTTGCAAAAATAAGTTCAGTAAAAGGTGAAGAAAGGAAATATATTTTATCTACCTATGTAGCTTAGGATTTAATGAAATATGAAGGCAAAATATGTAGAAATACCAGTATAAAATATTTTAGAATACTACATCAAAATTATACACTCTTCGATAAAAAATACTGATAACTATGTAACATTTTATTTTTCTGGAGTACATCTATAAACAAAACTAAATGATGCTTTCTAAAATCACAGCAAAAACCCATTTATTGATAAAAGAAAGAAAATAAATATAAAATTCCCTTTGAAAAATTTAAATTTTTTCTAACATGTCACAAATTACACAAAGATGAAGAGAAAACCCTAAAAAGTGACTGTTAGCACATTTTCTACTTGTAGAGAAACAAATAGAATGCTGCTTTTTAATAAAAAGACATTAACAATAAAAAGGCATAATACAGGCTGAGTTTCACTTATTCAAAATGCTTAGGAGCCATAGTGTTTCAGATTTTGGAACTTTTTGAATTTTGGAATATTTTCACTGACTTTACAAGCTGAATATTCCTATTTCAAAAATTCAAAATCTGAAATGCTCCAAAACCTAAAACTCAAAGAATTCTATTGCTATGAAACCATTAACACTTATGCCAGTATTTCTTAAGGAAAAGCATTTCAGATTTTGGATTTTGGCTTAGGGATAACTGACATTGCGGCAGTTGCCATTTACCAGGTACTATACTATTTATCCTCACTGAATTGTACCCCTATGTATTATTTCCCTCATTTCAAAGATGAAGATGCTGAGGTTTACAGAGGTCATAGCACTACTAAGCCCAGGTCTATATAGAAAACTTTCACTACATGGCAAACATTCCATTGTGTGCTTCTATGAAAATAACATAAGATTTCATTAAATTCATCTTATTCTTTTCTTGAGGTTTCCTTAATCAGTTTTCCATCATTCACTTCTGCATAATCCATAATGGCATTTAAATGTAGACAGTTCCAACTTCTAAGGGGTAATATACAAATAGTATATACACATATACACATAAATGAGAATTCAGAATTTAAAAATCTAATCTTTCTCATAACAATTATTTCTACAACTATAAATCATAGATCCCTTTAGTGTACTATACCAAAGTACCCACAAGAATCACTGAATTCCAATAAACATTCACAAATAAAAACTTTTCTAAACAGTAATTTAATAAGTATAGTTAACATCTATTATGAAACCATAAGTACTTAAGCCAGTATTTCTTAAATAGGCCATGGGCTATTGGTCTACTATTCTCTCCAGACAGTCCAAGAATCAATACCTGGAAAATATACAGAAATATCTTTCTAATACCTCTGGGTTACTCACTCTTGTCATGTCTCATCAAAAGCCATGATGGTTTCCCTAAAAGCTTTGAAGACTTTTTGGTATACATAAATGGGAGCAGATCAGGGGAGGAAACAAGAATCTTTTATTCATCCAAGATAAAAAGGTCAATTCAAAAGACATATGTAATACTTCTTGGCTCTATAATTAATTTTAAAAACAGGATATTTTTCAAGTAAAATGAAAAAAAGCCATGTATTTAAAAGGAGTATTTGCTATTTCCAAGAACAAGATTTCCCCAAAGAGCACAAATTCCCCCATATTAAGCTTACCTTGAAGATGGCATTATATTTGAAGCCCTGAATTTTGTTGTAAATGGATTAGTTGACTCATAATCAAAATAGTCCTGCCGATTTTCACTAAAAGCATTAGGTGATTTCAAGTCACAAGGGCTATCAGATCCCCCATTGTTAAGTTTATCAGACCTTCTGCTTTCTTTTTTCCCAGTCACTCTTTCAAACAGGCTAACTTTCTCCCTTTTCTCTCTTTTATTTTCTTTTCTTACTTCAATAGATTTTGAAAACAAATTCATGCTACTGTCCCATGATTCACTGCTTTCTTCAAATGGATTCTTCTTTCTTGGCAGTGTTGCAAACTTTTGGGGTAATGAAGCAGTCACGTTTGTAAATAGGTCATTTTGTCTTCCAAAAGACAATTCACCTTCATCCACAATGCTGTCAGGTTGGTTCATTTTAGAAGTATCAAAGCTTAATGTTCTTCTGTGTGGAGATTTGAGACTTCCTACAAACAATTTTGTGCTTAGTACACATTACATCACACTATTTGACACATTTTACTGCTTTTAGAATAAGCACGATTAGCTATTTAAAGAGAGTAACCTTAAGAATAATCAAGGAAAACCATCTTAAAATGGTAAGGTACAGACAGCAGTCTGAAGTATGTAGGTTAATAACAATTAGTGCACTGTTAGACAATTACTAATTTCTTAGGCTCAGAAACCACCACATAAACAAATTATGATGTCAAGAATCTGTTGGCATGATAATGCCGGAAATTCTGGAAATTTCTTTGTTACATATTAGCACTTGTTTACTTTCTTACTTCTGAACATAAAAGTATTTTTCTAGGGACATTATGAAATGGAATATTCATTTATGTTTCTGGCTTTCAAGATGGAAGAAACGGCAGTTATGAAAGAAGCCAGGCCATGAAGGGAGATTGGAACTCATTTATTATTATCCAATAATATAAATACAAATGCAAACAAGCTCTGCCTTCAACAAACATCAATTTGGGGTATTACAGGTACATAATATTTAATATGTGACTAAATTTAGAAAATACAAGAAACTGTATGTTTTATTTTCTAACTTTAAAAATTAAATCTTAAAAACCCAAAAAGGTATTTCAGGCTACTAGAGGTGAAATCAGAAAAAAGGAGCCACTTACCACTTTCTGGAACTGCTCCAAAGGACTCTAACTGGCGTCCAAGAAGATGTGTTTGACCTACAGTGCCAGACTTCAGTTTCTCAGAAGATACATGGGACCCAGTTAAATCAGACATTGAATGTGCAGAAGAGAGTCTCTGAGGACCCAAAAGAAAAGGCTTTTTTGGTTTGGATTTCATCTGTATTTCACCACTTGAAAATTCAGTATTGGCATCAGGCATGTGAGTACTTGGAATGATTGCAGAAGATGTATCAGAAAATGTCCCATCATTTTTTCTACCTTTCATCTTATCTTTTAATTTTGCAAAAGGAGATCTTGTTTTGTCCTTCATTGATAAGTCAAACATACTTGCGGTCATATTGTTCCTCATAAATTGAATATTGACCTTTATCTCACCCCTGTTTTTGACTCTTTTTCCTTGTTTGGATTCTAATCTAAACCACCTTAAAGAAAAGAAAAAACAGGCTGTAATAGCTAATAAAGAAAGGATGTCAAGCTTTGCTATATACAAAGAGCTATATCATCCAAAGCTACCCATGAGGGCAGTCTATGTACTGAATGAGAACCTGCTCACCTCAGTATCCATCCAGTTGCCCCAACTGTCTGACTTTAAAAAAACTGATCTGTTTCTGTGATGTGACATAAACTAAGGCAACAGACCTTTGGTGATTATGCTAAGGTGTTTAGATAACATTTTCTTTTATAGTTTAAAATTACTCATTAAAATTTTTACCAGCAATAGTTAATATGTTTTCACAACAGATAATTATTTCTAATGGCTAAGGACATTTTCTCACATTAAGATATCGAGGTAGAGATTTTAAAAGAATATGTCAATTACTATAAAGTGATGTAACATTTTAATAAAATCTAAGCCCATCCCAAAATATTACTTAGGTAAAAGTATTAAAAGAATTGTTAACCTTGGAGACCACTACAAATAGTTTGCTAATCATTAAAGCTGTAAATGATGTAATTTAAATTCATCTAAAATAGATCAAAGCTTTTTGAATATGCAAATGACAAAAAAATGAATTGTGACATTTTCAAAAAAAGTTGAAATGCTTCTGTTGGAATCTTTTTGCTTCATTTACTACTGCTACTGTAACACTACTGAATAAAGGTTACTTTATAAATAAAGCCAAATCTTAAGCTTTCAATCACATCAGCATATTACACCACCCATTTTTAAATGATGTATCAGAAGCAGTTTATTTTGGTTTTGCTTATAACACTTTTATCCATGAGAAATTCCCTGGTTCTTGGTGTCACAAATGGTCATTCTACAGGGCAGACAGCCAAAAAAAAAAAAACACTTGCAAAATCAAGACTAGAAAAGTGTTTCTACAATGTATTCACATTACTTAGCAATGAAGCATGGTCACCACTACTTCAGACAAGTTGTGAAACACAGATCTACTTGAATGTAGCAAATTTTCTTAGCTACAAAGGAACTCTCATCTAATTTTACAGTAGTCCTTTTTCTCACTATTACCAACAAGATACACCAAGAAAAACTGCATTTACTATATATCTGGTGGAAGATTAGTTCACAGACCTTTCCAGGGAAGAGAGGGAATGACCATTAATATTCATATCAACTACATCTCAGCAAGTAACATGCAAGTGAACTGTATTTTCTTTATTCACTATACTGAAGCAATTAAGGAATGTAGTAGCTGTATCAAAACAAACAATTTCTTAGAAGAGAATATTTTATAATTGAAAGTGTTAACCTGAAACCAAAATCCCTTATATAGGGCAAAAAGAAAAATCTGAAAAAACAAAGGCCAGAAACAGAAAAGGAGAGTAATAAACTGTGGACTACAGAACCATGAACAATACAAAACTGAGCACGCAAAATGCCTGGGAATGAAGCAAGGTTATACATCCAGCAATTCACTCATGTTTTGGAAAACAGAGCCATTTTCAGCTGGGGAGGGAAGGAACACTTCCTTGGACAGTATCTCAGAAACACCCTGTCACATCTCAGGCTAGAAAGAATATATGCGAATGCAGTTTGTGAGAAAACAAGAAAATGTGTAATTTGTATGTGTATAGTAAAACGAATCTGAGAATAAACCAGTAACACCCCAAAAATGAGAATAAAAATTATATAAGACCAAGTCGTCTACTTTAACATCCTTATTTCACAGATGAGGAAATTGAGGCACAGAGAATATGTAATTTAACATCAGAGTAAAGTCAAGTAAGGAAAAAAAAAATCTAAAGCTGATGAATAACATCTGCAGGAATATAGTTCTTCCTTATTTGACGAACCACATGTGTTAATAAGGTTAACCACATGGCTGCCAAACATTACAGGATACTGTATTTAATCAGGACGCATGACAACCTAAGAAGATTTTCTACAACCAGAGTATAAGCTTCTTGAAGGTAGTTTACCCTACAATGAATAAAATGTTTACCCAGTGGTTATTTCCAGAACCAGAATTCCTAAAATCACCAACCTACAACATGCATGTGCATGTTGTACTGTACTGCTTTTCAGTAGCAAACTCCAGAGACCTAGGTAAGCTTTAAAGAATAAGGCAACTCCGTATTTAACTAAAAATTATAAATACAGTATATTTTCACCCCCCCAAGAACCCTGTAAAGTATTCTAACATTCTAAATTAGTGTATTCTAAGAAACAGGCTAATTAAAAAAATAGGCATGATAATTAACTTTAGCTGCTTTGTTTTGAAATTGATGTAAGGAGAGAAGTCTTAATGAGACCTTCAAAAATCATTCCTGAGATAGTGTTTATTTTCCCAGGCTTCAAAAAGATAAAATGAAGACATAGCATTTGGGGTTTACTGGATTAATGCGGATTTTTTCACCTCTGAAGCACTGGATTTAAACTGTTTATGGCCTCTGTTCAACTTTTAGTGGGCACAGGTCCATGTCCAAAACCACCACACATGTGGGAACTATTCCCAAGCAATTGGTGCTGTGTGGTCAGAAACTGGACAAGATTGGCAGTAAGGGTGCCAGAGGCCAGGATGCCAGAGGTCAGGATGCAGGTGCACTCAGGAGACCCCCACAAAAGTCCTAAAAACCACGTATTATTCAGTCGTGCCTGACTGTGGGGCCTCTGGACTGTTATTTCTTTCCATCAGCATCAAAAAAAAAAAAAAAAAAAACAAAACCACCTACTTCTGTTGTTAAAAAAAAAAAAAATCAATGGATATTACATAACAGCATCAACAATTTTATCATTC